CAGCAAAAAAAAAACACGGGTTCCTCCTGCCAACACAGTGATAGGACGAGGTTGTTATGCAAGGTGCCGAATAAACTGCTCAAGGAGGGTTGGGTCTCGTTTGACGTCAGCTTGCGCGTCTTAGAATAAAGCGGGGGGTGGAGTTGGAGGGGCGCAGCCCCCCCAATTCGCAAACACAATGATTGGATGACATGCTGCCTGGGTGAACGTCTGGAACCTTTAAAGGCAACCTTCTGCCAAGATAATGATAGGACGAGTCAGGTTTCTTTCGAGGTCAGCCGGCATGGCAGAACTGAGCTCGGCTGCGTCCCATTTGTATGGAGCATGCCCCTCATGCCTACTCAGGACCAAGAGGGTGTGTAATGTGCACCCCAATAGCTACACATAGCTACACGCCTTTACTGTCAGTTGGCTGCCTCACGTCATTTTCAGGCGAAGGATTGTGCAACCGCATCTTCAGCCTCGGTTCCTTGAAGGTAACTACACCAACACTTGTTAAGAGTTTTGCGTGATACTCCGGAACCACCCTACTCATCCACTGTCCATTTGGAGGCTGTTGGCTCTCCGGTGCTGGTTATGTGCAAGACATGTCGGCCTTCCTCTGGAACCTGGCCCTCTGTACTTGATTCATTCAGGGCAACTGCATCACCAACAACTTAAAAACGACTGGGACCTATTTTCAGATTCGCTCCCCACCCTTTATCCTCCCAAAGGCCGACACTGTCAGGAGCCAAAAGCCTCTTCTTTCTTTCTGTCTTCCTGTCTCTCTTTACTTATTTGTCTTTCTTTGTGTATTTATTTCTTTGATTATGTCTTTATTTCGTTCTTTTTTGTTTTCATTGTTTTCTTATTTCTCATTTATTTATGTCTTTCGTTTGTTCTTTATTTATTTCCTTCCTTCGTTCCTTATTTCTTTCTTTCCTTCTTCTCTCTGCTTCTTTGCCTGGTTCTTTCCTTTCTTTCTTCGTTCTTTTTTTCTCTGATTCTTTCCTTTCTCTCTTCTTTCTTTCTGTCTTTCTCGTCGAATCCAACCCGTTGGAAAAAAATACCGTACCCGCAAGCAGTCATGGCAAGATGGCTGCGCCTCGACGTCTTTGTCCGGTACCTCTGGCATTCCTGTGCTTTCCTCCTTCACAAGGGAGCCCAGGACGCCCTGTCATGTCAACACAATCCTGACAAGCGCTTCTGTTGTACTTGTGCCAGCTATGAGCACTTGCCTCGCAGGGCCCTGATGGTTGGCTCCTCTCTTCCGGCCTCGGGTGATCTGTGGCTCTGCGCTGCTGCACGTTTTGGAAGCCCTGTCAAGCTGACCCCAGCCTGTCAAAAAGCGGTTCGTCTTCAATTGGCTCAGCGGCTAGGAGACGTAGTCTGCACTCCTGGCAAGAGAAGCGGCATCTTCAATGCTTTAAAGAACCAGGGCTTTTTCGAGTGCCCTCTGCAGGCACCGCCATTCACATTTCACGACCCTCATCGCGCAGGATTCAAGAGTCTCCCACCTTCCCGGCCCCAGAAACCCATCAAAGGATCGCCACTGTTCACTTATTGCTCTGGTGACATTGCAACCTCTTTGAGGTCCTTCCAAAGCAAATGACGGTAACCTGACCATTCGAAGGTCGAGGAGTCTAGAAGCGCAGATGAACGCGCAACAATCCAATTTCGTCTAATTCTCAACAAATCTTACACATCATGCAGCTTGCTTCCACCTACGACCTACGAAAATCCTGGCAAGCATTGCTGCGCAACGCATGCAACGCCCTGATGCCCCGGACATCACATTATGTCAACAGGTCTACAAGTTGGAGTGTTGCTCTGCTTTTGGGCATTCGAGACTCAGGGCTGGTCTGTTAAACCCAGCTCCTTCGGAGCTTGTTGGCGAGAAGCTCGAGAAAACCGTTTCTCAACAGATTGGAACGTCTTACTGCGCACGCTCCACGATTTCAGCGGCGTGGACTCCGTGGAAACTCTCGCCAAGACCTCAACTTGCCATGGCGTGTTTTGACTTCTGTGCAGATTGGAGATGCCCAGCCATTCAAACATCCGCAGTAAGCGCTCGACATGGTACACCATCTTGCTTAACGATTCTATCTCCTTAGTGAGGCATGCCTTGCAATGCGCTGTTGCACTTGCACTGACACGGATTGCAACGAATTCGTCACTAGTCACCCTGGCTGGACGGAAGAAAGCGAGTAAGCCTCTCAGCCGCTACAAGTGAGAGCTGGCAGTATGCATACCTCTCAAGCATGAGAGAAGCTGCGCTCAAAAAGTGGCAAGCTCGTGAGAGACATCAACTTTGCCCCAGCTTCGAGCTGCAAGATCTTCATGTCGAGGCTTCTTGCCTCGCCTTGCAACTTCCAGCATCCGTCGACAAATTCCGTGTAGCTTACTTCACCTCAAGGAACAGAAACTCATGGCTGGGAGGGCCTGTTGCTAGGCTTTTTGGCAAGGGCTTGGACACGCCTGACCCATCGAAGTCGAGAAGTGCAAACAAATACTCCACTTCTCCTGCGTTGGCACGCTGGAGTTTACGGTCTCCGTGGGTAACAGTAAATGAAACCCGCAACGAAGTGCAGCCCTGGATCGAGCATCCAGCTTCATGGCGTTGAAATAGGCCTGCACTCGCTCATCCTGTAGCGTGCTTTCAAACTCCTCTTTGCTGATGGTCCCGCTGTCATTTGCATCCATCTCCTAAGCCGGATGCAACTGCACAGTGCATGAATACCAGGAGCTTCAGAAAAGGCTGGTGTGCACTGACAGCCTCTCGGTTTTATCGCGTGCGGCCCAGGATCATCAAACACTCTTTGAAGCTCATGTAAAAACTGAGTTTTTGTCTGCAGCTCTTCTGCAATTACGTGCTCGCGATCCCTCTTTCCAGAGTTGCGAGCATTCTCGAGAAATATTCCTGGCGTCGACATCAAACCAAGACAGTCTTACTGGCCTACTTGCTACAACAGGACTGACAATGCCGCCTGCCTGTAACTACATTGGCCAGCGCATATATACTAAAAGTGATATATAAAAGGAACAAGGCCATATAGATGGCAGGAAGAGGAGCCATAGCCTCAGACAGGACAATGTCACCTGCACCTGCGTACCCTCATGTAACAGCTCGAGCATGCTCAAAGCAGAAATTTAAGCCAAGATGCTTCATACTGGACCGACCAATCTGTGCCACCAGTCATTGCCATGTACAGATTTATGATGGAGCGATCCAACGTGCCAAAATGGAAAAGCAGCTGCTCGTTCGCCGGATTAAGCTTCCGCAAAGCCACGGTATCCAGAGTGGACCCCACGGCCGACGTGAACATCACAGAGAACATGCCCAGCATCAAGCAAAGGACTGCTACGACCCAGATGAGAGAGCGAATGCAGCTGATGATGGAGTGCATTAGAAGTCGAAGCTCCTGGAAAGTCCTCATAACCTCAGCTCAGACATGCTGAAACATAGCACCTCATGGGCACCTCTCCCATTACGCAGATCTTTTTACTCGTTGCCAGAGTCAAGTGCCAACAAGAGCTGCAACCGCGTGAGCTCTGCCTGCAGCATCCTTCGGAAGATTTCGATCCTGGCAGCTGCGGAGGGAGCTTGTAGCAGCTGTTGGCAGGGCCGCAGAACGTCTTCCCAAAGCTCCGCGTGTGCTTCGCGATCAGCTTTCTGCGCTGCTGAGGCCCAAGCTGCAGCTGCAGCTCCTTCGTCATCCTCCTTGCCTTGTGGATTCCATGGCCTCCCCTTCGTTGACTTCGCCAGCTCTGCTGCTGAGCTCCAACGAGCTTCGCCGCGGCGTGCCTCTGCTTGCCATGTGCCCAAGGTTCGCCAGCGTCGTGCAGCTTGCCAAATTGCGGCAGCAGGCTTCGAGGTGTGCCTGGGAGGGGGTGCGGCCAATCGCTGCCAAACGTCTCCGTCATCCCATGTCAGAACATCAATGCATGCATCGTCGGCTCCACTCGTTGGTGTGGCCGCGAAAGCCTGGGAACCAAGCTGAACAACAAGGCGGCCATCTTGACCAACTTCCAGCTTCCCCAGATCTTGAACTTCGTCACCGTCAATACGGATGCGCACTCCACTCTTCACACGCCACAGGCCTTGAACAGCTTCAATAGCAGGGGCCAAGGGGTGAGATAACGTCAATGCTGATTTCAAGCCTGCCCCCTTGGACCCACGTTTTTGTTGCAGCCTCGCAAGCTCTGACAGCTCCGTGCTAAGCGCCTTCGCAGGGTCCAGCATCTTCTCTTCTTGCTCATCCCAGAGTAAGTCAACTTCTGCCCGCAAGAAATCGTCGGCCGGCAGACAGCGGCAAATCCGAGCTCTTCCAACCGCGTAATGCAGAGCCAGGTAGCCTGTCCTTGATTGCACCAAATCTTCTAGATAGAGCAGCGAGGCATACGCAGCCATCTGCTGCTGCTCTGTGTCATACAGAACTGCTGCAACGAGCCGGCCACCAGCAACCTTACTTCCACAACTTCTGCCAGCACCCTTTTAGGTGCATTGGCTTTTCAATGCTTGATTTTCGTACTTGACATTTGCAGCCTTTTGCTTCAAGGAAACCAAAATCAGTGGAACAGCAATACATTCAGGGGTTCTTAGTGTTGTTTGGCCAAAATAGACACAGGCCTGTCGAACTTTTGGCCTACCCGCGTGCTGGACAGGGATTGAACTTTTTGCTTGTTTTTCTGCATCCCAGACATGATGCTAGACGTGGTACTTCCAAGACTTGCATGGGTCACTTGTGGATGTGGAGGATTGGACCGTGTACCGCCAGCCGATTTTGGCTTGTTCAAGGTGTGCCCCGCGATTCACGGGGTCTGAGCTGTGCGTTTTGTCCGGCTCGCCCCATCAATGTAGGCTTCGCTGCATCAGTCCAAGGGCTTGGGGAGAAACACAGACCCAAAAGAGAATGTCGTGCTAACAATGGAATGACAAAAAAAGACAGCATGTTGTGTATCCATGTCCAGTTTGTTGTTTCGTGCCGCAGAACTGCACCTAAATGCAGGGATATCTCAAACTCCGACAAACAAGAAACCTGGCAATTCAAACCTGGCAGATTCGTCAAATGCTCTTGTCCTTCTACTTCACTAAGTCCTAGCCTTCCTTGCTCTCCAGCTGATGCGACGATAAAACCATTGTTGCCACTGCTGCTGCGGCTTTACGCGGCTCTTCTGGCATGTTGCTACTACTGCATATGATATCGAATTGTCACACTGCATGATCTGATATTCTACTATATTGTACTATATGATGCTCTAGTATACTATGTTATACTATCCATCCTAATACGCCTGGTTCTGGTATCGGGTGCCTCCTTCTATTGCTGCCTGCTCTGCTGCTGGTTTTGTGCTACATCATGCGAGAACTACTGCTACACTACTAGCGCCATCTGTGCAACTATTTCTTTACTGGTCTTACTAGAAGCATGCTACTGCTAGTATTGCTATTCTTTGTATCTAGTCTTTCTATTACAACGAGCTACACTCTAATCGTCCATAAGGACACGGCAAGGGGAGGCAAGAACGGGGGAAGACAGCAGGTCTTCCTCATATCACTCTAATCGTATTGCTGAATCCATTTTCAGTGTTGCGATTTGGATTATTATTGCTGCTCCTCTTACTCTTATTACTGTTATTGCTCTCATCACTCTTATGATGATCCCCCATTCCTATGGCTCTTATTACTATTATTGCTATTGTTGCTATTATGCCTATGAGACCTATTATTGCGAATATTACAATTCTTACCCATGGTTGCTGTCATGATTGTTAAAGCCATTCGTACTCTTATTTCTGTACTTAATCTTTTGACTCTTCTAACTTTTATTAGTCCCATTACCCTTGTGATTCTTACTACGAAGGGTTTTATTAATTCGACCATTATCTTGACTCTTACTGTTGTTACGATGACTGTTTTGGCGATTGTTACCATCATTACCACTATTAGTATTTCTGATTACTAGTTCTAGTATTACTTGCGCTACTTTTATTACTACTATTGAAATTATTGCAATTACTACTCTCATTTACCAACTATAATTGCTGCGAATATTGTGATGGTTGCTCTTTGTGCTACTCTTACTATGCTTGCTTCGTTAATATCGTTACTAGTATAACTATTCTTATTCATGCTATTATTATCTTTTTATAACCCCAAGATATACCCTATGAAATAGTAGTTTTCATGCTCTTTTCTATTATCCCTATATAACGAGTATTCTGCCGGTCCCTTCATGTTCCAGAACATGCTGCTTCGAGGATGCTGCTAGGGACCAGGATATTCTTGAAAGAGAATGGACCGGAAAAAATGTAACAACAACAATCCTAAGAATATACACTTTGAAAAATGGAAATTACGAATAAGAACAGTAATAGTAGCAAATAACACTATATGACAGAACAATGCGAACTAGGAAACGCCAACAGCCTCAGATTTGGCACCCTTGAACACTGCATAAAAACCATTACTGACCCCAGAAAATCCTTGGAGCCAGCATGGAATCGTAGAGCTTTTTGGTGGACGCGTCCCCAACTGGCAGGCTCACAGGTGCACCAGGAAAGTACACGTCCTGTACGAGCAGCAGAGGCACTTGGACCTCGCCGTCTTTGCCTTCCTTGAACCACTCGACCTCCCCTTCATCGAAGACCCGACAAACCAAGCCAGTTTGATGCCGGAAGCTGCGAGCCGCGCGCGCAGCACGTAACGCTAGGCCAGCAAGGGTTGCTACGAGAGCACCACCTACAACCTGTGACTGTCCATCTGCCGGGCAAGATGGAGTCAGCACAGGCTGCCTTGGCTTGCACGAGTGCGGGGGGCGCCTTGGCACTGCGGGTACTGCTGTCCTGACAAGCATGGAGGGCGGTGCTGAGGCTGCCTTGCCAGTTCTGGGCCAGAAAAGCTGCGAATGTACTCGGGAGGGTGAGAGGCTCAGCTTGTGCTATAGTGCAGAAAGGCAGCCCGAATCATCTTGGCAACCCGAATCACTCGGATAACTCGTATGACTCGCAGAAGGCTGAATTGGACCCAGACTTCCAGGAAGATGCTAACCTGAGGCCAACTGTCAGGCAAATCAGATAAGAAGTACAGCCTCCGTCAGCATCTCGCCGCAAACATGAACAGCAAGGATGTACACTTTCTCTGGGCACAAGTCTTGTGAGTGTCTGATGGGTGCCTTGCGTAAAGGTGTAATGTGTTTTTGTGGGCAGTGCAAGTCCGAGTACAATGGCATCGGTTGGAGATAGCAGGATGACAAGGAGAAGAAGAACAGCAAGAGGAAGAGCAGCACGCGACAACACTGCAGCAGCGGCGGCAGCAGAAGCGGCAGCAGAGCAACAACAACGCTGAAAGCCATGACCCCTCCGCCTCCTCTTCCATCACGGAGGTGACCCGAACCCTGTTCTACACATGTCCAAAGCTCAGACTCCAAACAAGAACCGCCAAAGCTTTGTTTGAGGGACTGGGCTGCTACTCCTGGAGAAGCTCTGAACCTAAAACCTCCAGACTTGCACGGCTACTTTCTTGCGAGCAAAACTTTGCAAAAGGGAGTGGGCCAAGCTCTCAACCTCCCATATATCTTGCACAGCGCCTTGACAGACTTGTGCTCTTACCATCCATATCATCAGATTTAATGGCAGCGCTATCAGGCTAGCCTGTGAAGAAGCCGTATATAAGACAGCTACATCAACTGAACGTCCAGCAACCTTGCACTGACTTGAAAAGGTGTACAGCTTAGTTACAGCACTTTTCAGATACTGCCCCGCCCCTGACGGCCAAAAAATCATGAAAGATAGTTTCCAAACCAAGTATCCAAATCGAAGGTGACCACCATGAGATCCAGCCTGCAGTGTCCAGAGAACACATCAAGCCCACAAGTTTACCACGCTTGTTACCATTCTTATGGCTATTGTCATCATTACTATTAAAGAGTATTACTATCATCACAAGTATTATTGCCATTTTTACAAGTAGGGCAGATCGCGCAGGAAGCCGAGGTGCCAATTCCAGAAGGCATTTGGGTTCTGGCAGCTCCACAGGTACCAGCGGTCGGCCAAAAATCGAAGCAAAAGTTCCTTGGCACAGACGCCCGAATGCCATGATCCTTTCCAAACCTGGCATGAAGAGTTGAGGACAGTCTGACTATCTGCAAGCATGCTTTTCCTTGGCAAGCTGCTATAGAGAAGCATACGACGAAAATGCCCTGAAGAATAGTAAACTCCATCGGCTCTGCGACAATCCTTTGAGCTGAAGCAGATGTGCAACGGCAGGCAAGGTCCGCACAGAAAAAAGGGCACATCAACTTAGGATCTGCAAAGTTGTTCCAAGATACAGCTCCAGATTGGCAGCAGTTCGCGCTTCGTCGTCTAAAGCTTTGGTTTGCGTTTGCCAGGCCACGAATAAGCAATTGAGAAGGATCAGGAATCCACTCACTGACTCAAAGAAAGGCGACTCTGTCAAGCGCTGGATCGCGGTCTGCTTCTCAGCAACTTTCCGTCGGTTCTCATGTGCTATAAAGTTAGACTTCCTAAGGGAAGAGTTTGACTTGAAACGGCCCTGCAAGCCGACACCTTCTGAATCCGCGGATTTCCATTGTGCTGTGGTGACCATTCCATCTGGCACACCTGACAGGGAACAAGCTTGCTCCCTTGAGTACACTTAGCTTCCTGGCCAGGAGCAGGCCTGGCAATGACTGAGGCATATCTGCATCAGCAGCATCTGGATCATCGAAGTGAGAATGTAAATCCACAGGAGGTGCTTGCTTCTCTGCTCTCTCTGCTCGCTCGGGCAGACTCCCACTGCTGGAGCTGCTCAGCAGGCCAGATCGGTGAACATTTCCCAGCACGTGCCCACTGGCGTCAGGCTGGGTTGGTTGACCTGCTACGACAAGATCGCCGCTCTTCCTAGTAGATTTGTAAATCCAACTATTTTCCCCAAAAAATTCCAAGATCAGCGATTTGCACAGCCGCACTGGCGCAGCCCACCATGCCTGCTCCACCAGCAGATGCCGAAGCTGTGTTCTTTCCAGACTCCGCGTCCGCTGCCTTACTCGCCAATCCTCCGGGCTAACGCAAGACCATATGTACAGTGTGTCCGGACTATCCCCAATAGTCCTGCTTCTCCCGCCGCTGCACATTCTTCAACGTCCAAGGGCGGTGCTGTTGCTGGTTTTGGACCAGGCTCAGCCAGTTTAAGGGATGAAGGTAGGGTTGGTGGCAAAGCGGCAGGGGGGCTGGGGGCATCTTCGATCTCAGCGATGCGAGATGTCTTGCCGGTTGGGCTCACCGCTTCGAGTGGAGGGAGGCGGTTAGGAGCCCGAGCAAGCGGTGGAGTTGGTGCTCTGTCTGGCTGAGGACATTTGCCTGCGGCTGGTGCGGCAGCACCTCAGCCAAGGGCAAGAATTCTGGGCAGCAACGTGCAGACAACTTCCGAGGTCGGCGCTCAAGGATTCAGGCGCCTGCCCCAGCACAAATATTTTAGTGGGTTACGAGATCCTTTGGTGCGTGTCTGTCAGGGCATGCATTCGTTTGTTATAACTTTGAGTGAATGCACGAGCTTTAGTGATGCAAGGTTGGCGTGGCTGTCTATCGTCATGACTGGCTTGCAAATGCTGACTCGGACAACATACAACTGAAACAAGTGCACATGAGTCGCCAAACTACACACCTTCTTACGTTCACGCGCAAAGCACGCAAGCGGAGCAAAGACGAGCAGACACGCCAGACCTTGCAGACATCGGACCACGCGAAGGTAAGCAAAGCAAGTGGAGAAGAACAGGATTCAATCACCCTCCCAATTCCCAAAGGCATTCCGCCCCGAGTGCCCTCTACTACACCGCTGGTTGACGCCAAACTTACGCTGGGCAAATAATAGACAACAAAGGTAACAACAAAGTTAAAAAGATGGACGAGATAAGCGACCAATGATGGACAGAAGTGCGGAAGCTAAGGTCGCCAAAGCAAAAAACAAAAAGCCTTGTTGTTGCATCAGGCAGGTCAGTCTACGTTGGACCTGCTGTCGCATCGTCTTTTTCTGCATATGGGTATCCCGCTAGATACATCAAATTAGCCCTGGTGAGCATCTCCAGCGGCACTCGCCTGCTGCACGAAGTCCGCAAAGCATTTTTGAATGTCTTCCTGGTGCCGCTTGCACGCTTGCTCGAGCTGGACCTCAAGCCTCGGCTCACATGGGTGACTTCCCACACCAGTACGCACAATCAGGTAGTTCAACCAGGTAGCTCCTTCAAGCGGAGGTCCGAGGCCATAGCCGCCCCGACAGGCATTCTTATCTACTATTGCGGTTACTTCGGATTTGTAATTTGAATGATTGGCTCGTCACACTAGACAGGCTTCCAAAGGCTTCCCGCAGCGGGGTTCTCAGAAGTTTTGCCTCACTCTGAAACTTGATATGTTGGGGGCACTTGGTGGACTGACGAAGGCAAGCTGTGAGCCTTAAGCTTCACACAATCGTGAGAGGAGCATGTCATGCAAAGCAGGTAGGCATGCGACACGCAGGGGTCCCTGACTTGGCCCAGCATCTTGTACCTCGCAGATCGGCAGGATGCAAGCAGCATTGACGGAGCATTTAGAGCGCACAGCTCTCGCAAGAAAGAGCTTCCCAGGTTTTCCAGGTCCTTCCAACAGCCATACATCATGGACAGCTACATGCGGAGAGTAGCTACATGTAGCTATGAAAACGTGATGTTCCACTGGGCACACTGCCACTGCAGCAGGGGGCTCCACCACTGCAAAGAAGTCTGCAAGGCCCATGAGCAACTCCTCGCATGACAGCTAGCACGGCACACTTGCACCTCTAGTCTGCAAAACAAACTTTAAGGTTGCACCTTCAATGACAGCCTGCTTTGCATCACTCCTGACTCCCTAGAAAAGGTGCTGAGCCCCGAGCATTACTGCACTTATTGCATATGCCTCTTGCCTTAGACTTATTTTCTCCGTCATGATCGTTCATGTACTTGGCATTGTTGCTAAGATTCTGTTTCCGTGGCTCTGGTCTTCAGGCATCTCGTGGTGGAACCATGGCTTTCGTACATGCATGGAACACATGGTCCCCAAAACTTTGAAGTCCTGGAGAAGATCGGCTTTGACTTCCAAGGACTCCAAGTTCTGGCCGCCTGGGTCCAAACACTGGAGTCACTACGAGTAGGGCATTCTGTAACAGCCCGAAAAGGAGGACAAGAAGCACTCAGCAGGCGACCGTCATGCGTCTCGTCCCCAGGCCTGAAGCCAAAGCAGGTTGTTGGTCTCAAGGCGGTGCTGCAGGGAGCCCTATCATGGCATCATATCACATCTGAGGCCCGGCAAAGCCACGTACTTCCGCAGAGCCGAGCGCAGCAAGAAGACCTGCTGCTTTGTGCGCGGAAGCATTCTGCCCAAAGGCATAGTCTTGTTGAAAGGCCTCCTTGCCCTCGCTTCGAATCATCAATTCTGGAACCTACACACATTGCAGCATTCATCCTCCCAATTAGCGAAGCATCTCTGATTTTGAATTCCTGCCTTTTGAAGCTTGCTGTAATCGAAACGCTTGTATAGCTTGTCTAGCCTAGGCTTCGTGACGTTGAGAGCGAAACCCGTGGCTGCAAAGCCTGAGGCACGTGCAGCCATTTGACAGCCTCCTGCACGACTGTGGAGGCCACGTCCTGCTGGCTGGCATGCTACGAGCCCAATTAGGGCATTACAAGACGACTTTGTTTCAAGAAGTAGCCTGTAGGCAGAGACACAAGGTAGCGCCTTCTGTACAACATCTTCAGGTCGAGGACTGTCTGCCTCTTGAGACCGTCTTGAGACAGCCTGCGTTGCCGACCTGACACCAAAAGGAAACAGCCACAAGATAAATTGCAAGCCACTAAATTCCAAGAGGAGTGTTCAGATTCGGATGTGCCACTTTTGCATGTTCATATTCTTGTTGGCGGAATTTGTTTTGGACGCGGGGGGTGGATTGTATGTAGCCACGCAAGAGCTCAATTCGCAAGCAAAATGCGCTGAGAGTGTTCCACACAAGGGCGCGATTCCGGAGGCAAGATTCTGACGCAAAAATGCGAGGACGCATCACATGAAGGCCGCTCCGAGCGAGAGCTTGATTCTGATGCAAGATATTGGGACGCTCCCTGTAAGAGATCCCTTTCGCAGCAAAACGAGCGGACGTTCCAACCGAGAACTCCGTTTGAAAACAAAATGTGAGAACGCTCGGATGTGAGACTTTGCCACGATCTCCCCAATCTCCCGCAGCCCCTCCGACGAAAATGAAAACGTGTAGTTCATTGCCCCGTCCAGCAACGTTTTACCAGGAATTTTGTTTCACATTAACATGCAAAGCGGGGGTTGGAGAGGCGCGCAGCCCCCATCAACCACAAATGAAAATACGTAGCTCTTTGCTGAGTCAAGAAACCTTCTCTCAACCAGTCTGTGTCACTTTAGAATGAAAAGCGGGGGATTGCGCGGGGCACAGCCCGGGGGAAGGATCCAAAAAAAGAATAACAAGGATCAAAAATTCCATGATCAACAAACAAAATGTGCAAATGTGAGCAAGCCCCACACCAGAGCGATAAAACCTGAAAAATGATAAACAATGATGAACAATGATGAAGCAGGATGAAAAATAATGGAAATGATAAAACATGAGAGAAAAATGACGAAGATTATGAAGCATAAGGGAAAACGACAGCAAAATGATTAGAATTATGAAAATAATCAAAAAGGAAAGAAAAATTATGAAAATCATGAAAATGGCAGGAACATGATGAAAGATGATGAAAATCATTTTCCCTCCCGCTCTGCCGTAGCTGCGAGGTGACAAGCCGTGAGCTGCGCGCACGAAAAACTAGATCAGAATTGTGTACCGGTCATGCATGCAATTGCCAGAAATTTCCGGGGGAGCGCAATCCTCAACAAAGTTCGAGCATGTGGCCACACCGTCTGCTGTGCCCCGGAGCTTCCCATTGCGATGTCAACCCTCCGAGCCATTTTTGGCTAGGTGCAACAAGGCAAAGTCTGCCCCGTATCACCTACCACATTGCCTAAAGGCCTGTAGCCAAGTCACAGACCGCCAGCCGCGGCTAGTGTCACTCAGCAAGAGTGTGTTGGAGCTCCTCCAGCTATGCCTTCGGCACCCGAGAGCGAGCCCGCAGTTCCCCAACTAAGCTCCGCATCCAAGGGCAAACTGCGTGTACACAACGCCTCAAGCTCAGCCCTGTCGCTGCCGTTCTCGCCCGATGCAGAAAGCTCGACGCATCCTCCCATGACTGCCCACATACACGGTGGCTCGGACTCATTCCAAAGAATCAAGCCCCAACTCAAAACCCTTTCCCCACTCGTGGGCGACAATCCCCAAGAGCCATCAAACGCAACTTGCCAACCATGACACACAACATCTGCACCCACGCGTCCGCACCCAGAACCGACCCCCCCCCCCTGCAGCAGGTGAAGAGGGTCACCCGCACACGTCAGCCTCTGCGCAGGCAAGACAAGTTGGCGGCCGAAATCATGAAAGATGATGAAAACGATAAAACATGATGAAACATGATGAAAAACATGAAAGATGATAGAAGAACAACAGAAACATGATGAAACATGATCGAAATCATGGAAATGATAGAAACATGATAGAAAAATGAGAGAAACATGATGAAACATGATAAACAGTGATGAACAATGATGAAAACAATGAACACTGATGAAGCATAATGAAAATGATGCAAAATGTTGAAAATGATGAAAAATGATCAAACATTATGAAACGTTATGAAAACCAGAAGCATGATAAGAAAATGAAGCATGGATGGAATGCAAAAAAGGCGGGGGTCTGGGGGGCGCAGCCCTCTCCTATTTGGAAACATAATGATCTGCATAACTCCCCCTTACTGGTGACAGACTTTTCGGTTACAGCATAGATTTTCGGGGGGTTCGAAGCGTCCAGGATCGCGGCCTCTAGCCAAGGCTCCGGGCACAATGGAAAATGATGATACATGTCGACGTTGCTCCTTCCTTCCTTCCCTCCTGAGACAGGAATTTCCCTTTGATTTCCTCTCAACAGGATATTTTGATTTCTGTTTATCCTTCCTTCCTCACATCCTGACATAGGATTTCCCTTTGGTTTCCTCTGAGACAGACTATTTTGAATTTTTGATCCTATATTTGACTTGTTTGATCCACATCCCGCGCAGCCCCCGAATTTGCAAAAGCATGGACGAAAATGAAAACATGTGGATACTCGCTCAATTTAACAACGATCGCCCAAGCAGTCTGTTTCACTTTAAGATGGAAAGCGGGGTGGGGGGCCGCAGCTACCCTCCGTTTGAGTTTTGGAAATATGTAGCTCTTTGCTCCCAGCCGGCCTAGCAAAGTTCTCCATGTTCTCCCATGCCGTCTGTTTCGCGTAAAAAAGAAAAGCTGGGTGTTGGGGCTGGCAGCCCCCCACAGTTGTAAGGCATGGCTTTTGTGAGGGAGTTGAGGCTCGAGGACCAGAATAGAATGGAGGAGCTCTTCACGCCAGAGCTCGTCTCACATTGGCCAAATATGAGGACGCTCCGCGCGAGCTTGGTTTCGAGGCACATGCAGGGAAGCCGCGCTAAGCACCTCAGACCTTGATAGTCGCGAGGTTTTCCGGAATGCGAGAAGTCGGCAGTTTTGTCCAGTGTCAAAGCCAGGTGTCAAAAACATCTTCTGGAAGCCAAAGGCAAAGAAGCCTCGAAGCTCTGGCTAGAGAAGCCAGAAGATCAGCTAGGTCCAGCAAGCCAGAGGAGCCAAGAAGCCAGAAAGCCAAGAAGCTAAAAAGCCAGGAAGCCGCGAGGCCAAGCAGCAAAATGTGAGGAAGCTTCATGCGGGAACCCGAGTTCAAAGCAAAATCCGAACACACTCCACGCGAGAGCTCGATTTCATGGCAAACTGTGAAGACGTTCCACGAGAGAGCTTGATTTCGAGACAACATGGGAGGATGCTCCACGAGAGGGCTCGATTTTGAGGCGACATGTGAAAATGCTCGACGTCAGAGCCACCCAACAAAATGTAGTCAAAAAGAATCTTGGCTTCTCCGACCAGGTTAAAAGTATTTGTGACCCATGATGCACTATCTTCTGAAGAGTTTGTAGTGTGGGTTGACAGGCAACAAGCATGGTATTCCCTTGGGATAGCCATGGAGCGAGCATCATCGATTCCGCGGAGTGGGATTTGTATTTTGGCGATGGGCATCCCACGCTCAGCACTCTCAGGTAATCGGTAGAACCAAATGATACAACATAGGCAATGTAGAACTCCAGGCAGCAAAGCGGGCTGTCGACTCAGCGCAGGCAACCCATCTGCATGCGCTGGTGCCAAGAATGATGGGCAGAGGTGCAAGCCTTCTAAGAAGCACTGCATTGCCAGCGCTCCCGAAAAAGCTTAGCTTCAAGTCCGAAAAATCAGGCGCGCAGCTGGCAGGCTCTGCAGAAGCTGAGGACACGGCATTATGGGCGACCACGAAGCGCAGGCATTGCTGCTCGATTGCCTGGATCTTTCTACAGTCTCTGCTGGAGCTACGCCGCATCAAGTGACCTAAGGGCCGAGCGATTCCCGCTGCGATGCAGAGCTGATGCTGGTCGTAATGGGCCTCGCAGTTGCTGTGTCTTAGCCTCAAAGCTGTCCGCCTTTTCTCAGGAGCAAAAGTCTCTTTTTTTGTTGGCAGGCCCTCCAGTTGTCGGAATTCACAAGGTTCGCTAATCGGCCCAGGCTGCGCTGTCTCAGGACTCTCAGTGAGAGCTAGACCTGTATCGCAAATGGTAGACATGGGGAGTCCTTCCTTCGCTGACTGACTCAGTACTGACCAAGCAGCCGTGAAGCAGTTCTCAAGCTTGAAATCATGAAAATGAGCCTGACCTGCATCGGCACAAGGGAGAAAAAGGCAAAATGTGGGAGATGTTTGGCTGGCGCGCCTGAGCAAATCTTGATGCCTTGTCCAAGGTTGTTCTCTGGGTATTTAATCTTGAGCATGCTCCTGAGTGTTGGTCATGATTAACTAGTACATGCACTCTTGGACATCCAACACTGAAGCCGCAGTGCAGGCTCGGAGTCTGCGCAGGGCAGCCCACATAAGAGGCTAGCGCAGGATCTCCACAAATGCTGTACTGAACCTTGGGCATCATGCAGCTGAAAGCCACATCTCCTAGTACTTGCGGTAATGGTTTGCCGGCAACCGCAACATCTCGAAGCTCTGAAGCTAACTTGCCACCGACCTTCTCGCCGGTCGCTGTGAAAAAAACCACCACCAGGTCCAGGATGGAGAGGAAGACCTTGTCCCCGCCCGTCAGCGGGTACTTTGTCCCGAACCTGAGATGCTGCAAAGGATGGGTGATTGCGCCTTCCTCTGGAACAGCAAGTCTTTTTGAGCAAAGTAACTGTCCAGCGAGCCAGAAAAGGTTTGTATCACCTCACACCGTTTATGGAGCTTGCTTCAGAATTTGGTGAGCACGTGCGCATGCCAGCAGGAAAATCAGGCATCAGGGAAACCTCTGGCCATCACAATTTTGCTGGTGCCATGTTCCTATAGCTTAAACTGCTGATGGGCATCGGCAAGAGTAAGCTACTGGAGAGGTGCTCATCTGCAACAAATGGTCACCAAGCCTGTGGGGGGGAATCGAACTGCCCCGAAGGCATCAACAGTTGTCGCCACGAGGGTACCGCATTCTTCACCAGGATTTGCAAAGGTGGCGTTGTAGAAAGTGATGGACTGGAAGTCTGTGAAGCCAGTCCTTGCTTGCTGGGCTTACTGGCTTATACACATCCCAGTCGTACCGAACGCACTGCTGCCTTAAGAAGAATTTAGCAGGTCTATGTATGCCTAGCATCTCTTCCTCCGAACAGCTAGTCACAGGCCAGTCGAATCGAAAGCGGCCCAATGCCTGAAAGCAGTAGCACAAACATCAGGGCTACAATGCAGCTACCACTTTTTTCAGCAACTGTGATTGCTGATGACTCTCATGAGTCTCACGGGTTGAATAAGGCAGCCAGGCGACCAGACTCAGCTCTTGAGGATCACCCGCCCAGCCAGCTTGCTCTCGCAGGAAATCCATAATGCCTTGGCCATCTGTCATGCTGTCGCACTCTCCAACTGAACTTGTGGTGCGGCTTCGTTGCTCTGGCTGTTGAGGGCCACCTGAAGGACGAAGCCCTTGGGCACCAAACCGGTCTGGTCCTGAAGCTTGTGCACTATAACTGAGAGGAGCCTGTAGTTACAGAGGGCTGTTTCAGAATTGCCTTGTAGCTTGCGCGAGAGCTTGTGAGGGATGGGACAACGCCGAACCTTGAAAATCCCACCGGCGCATGCAGCAATACTTGAAGTCATGACTGAGTGCCAGGCATGAACTGTGTACCAGACCCACCCGAAGTAGCTTCAGGGACTGTAGAAGTGGACGGCATTCGGCTGGCATCGTTCTGTATGGGTGTGAAGGGCGCGGTCTCAGCCGCTGGCAGGCCTTCTAGGGGAAGTGCAGGCAGGCTGTCCAGAGGCACCGCCGGCAGGCCGTCTAAAGGAACCGGTGGCAGGGATGTTGCATCGAGTGGCACCTTTAACACAACCCAAGCAGCCACAAAGCTCCATAATAGGCAAACAATAGGGGCGTGCCCACCATCAAGCACCCAGGCCTGCGGCGCATCAATTGCCTCCAAGTGCTCCTTGACGGCCACCTGAGAGTGATGTTAGGGTTCTCTTAGGGTTATATTGGAAGACTGGAAAATAAAATGGAAACTACTATTTAGGGTTTTGGGTTAAGGTTTAGGCTCAAATCCTTGGACTCTCCCATCCACCCTGGAGCCATGCCTGGTCTTCCGCTGACATTGGAGCCACAATGGACAAGATGGACTCCACCTGGTAGCTTCCCTAAATAAGGGGACCCAATATAGACCCCGAAGAACTATAATGCTGATTTTAGGGACCCCCGAAATGGTACTCCTAATGTTGGGAAACCCCCGCCTGCTCCTGGCTGAGTTGCGCCTGTCAGACACATAACTCTCCAAGATTCCACCTTTTTTTTTTACTCTCAGTGGAGCCTTGCAGGGTCGGCCTTCCACCCTTGAGGGAAACACGTTTGTTGATCCGTTTTTGGGGGGAAGTGCAAGTCTCTCTTGTTTTCTTCTGGTGCCTGGTTTCTGCAGAAGAAGGCCATAAAGGAAGGACGGAAGAGTTGGTGTGGAGTAGGAGAGCAGGGAAGAAGCACACAAAAAACACCAAGAAAGCAAGACAGAAATAGGGAAACATCGAAAGATTAAAAGAAAGAAAAGAGGCATAGAAAGAAGGAAAGAACGAGACACCAGAAAGAAATAAAGAAAACAATAAAAAGTAGCAAACATCGTAGTCATAGTTGTCAAAGGAGTAAGAAAGAAAGACAGGCAAATAGAAATCAAGAAATACAGAAAGAATGAAATAATAAGGTCGGAAAGGAGGACACAAAAGAAAGAATTACGCACAGAAGGATATCTGTACTAGTTGTCGTTTTGCAGATAGTATACAACTCTTACCTGTATAGGTACTGCTACTATACTATCATCACTATTGCTGTGATGATTGCTGTTGTTCCATTGTTAACCCTTATCATGGCTCATCATGCAAGATTTGTCCCATCGTATTTTAACATACCTCATCACGTGTCCATCATATTTCATCAGGTTTCATCGTCTTTCCTTGTTTTTCATTCTTTACATCATATTTCATCGTGTTTCGTCATGTGCCATTGCTTTTCGTGATTTTCAAGAAATTTTCATCATGCGTATTTAAAAAAAACCTTGCTCCATCATCTTCGGTGATGTGCCATCGTTTGCTTTCATCGTATGTCATAATCTCTAATCATCTAATCATGTTGCATCCTGTGTCATAATACTCCACCATTCTTATCGTGTCTACAATCTGTTCATCACATTACTTCAAAAGCTTTTCATAAGTTTGACTAGTCTTCAGCATTGCTCATCGTTTTCATGCTTTTGGCCTTTGTCATCCTTTTCGCCATATGTCATGATGTTCCGTCCTGTTATTGAACTCCAAACGGGGGTAAGTTCCCCCCCCACCCCGCTGAACTACATCACATTGCATCATTCCCCATACTGTCCAAGCTTATCATGTTGCATCATGTGTCACTTCATCCCTCCGATTAATTCTAATCATGGGTTGTCATTTCTCAACTGTCTTGCGGCATGCTTCATCATGTTAATCAAGTTTTAATCTTGTTTTATCAATGGTCGTTATTTCCATTGTATATCATCATAATGTTGGACCCTCTTTAATAAGGGGGCCCCCCCACCCCCCCTACATTAGGACCTCCGAAAAATAGAAATTAGGGATCCTCAATACGGCCCCCCTGAGCTCCCACGGTTC